GAATATGCATACAAACAATGCATATATTGATGTGTATATACATATATTGAATGTTCACGCAATATCCTTAGGTATTTTAATTCTATATTTTAAAAGGAAAAGTATATAGCCCTACGGCAGCACATGGTTAATCAACGTATCCCAATAATGTATAAAAAAAGTTTTGAAGAGAATTCAAATTCTTATTTTAATATTATAGCGTAAAATAAATAAAACAAACATTATATTTAAATTCTAATAGCCTTATGTAGAAGTGTAATATGGCACTAAATTGTTCATAGTGAACAACTATTTTCCAAAGTTTTCAACATATTAATATTTCATTAATTAGAGAACAAAAACTTTTAAAAATAAGTATCCAATACAAAATAGGATTGATGAATATCCAATTTTAAACTAAATTTTATATAATTTGTATAAATGCCAATTTTAAAATTTCTGAGTCTTATAATTTTTAGTTAAATCATGACCTGCATTTTTTATGACTTTTGCTAGTATTTTGCTAGTCATCGTAAGTCGTACTAAAGTAAATTTTTATTTGAATGCTTAAGTGGAGCAACTTATTAATCAAATCTTATTGTAGCATTTATATGTTTTTTATTATGATCAGTTTATTATAATTATGAGAAAATATTTATACATTCTATAATTTAAAATAAATGTATAACTGTTTCAAGATTCAGCATTAATTGAGAATAAGGAAATAATAAAGTTTGCAATAAATTAAAAATATTTGGGAGCTCCATATTTTCAAATATAAAGCGATTTTTATTATTTATCATAATTTGATTCTTTACTATATCTGTTAATCTTCACCCTCTGGACAATGGAATTATAAAATGAATGGATAGAAAGGATTTACCACAATGATTCATCAACATTCCTCAGCTTGTGTTAATCTTCACCTTCAGGATAAATATTATACTAATACTGCCTTCTTCAACTAATGGTAGATATCAACTTCTTCAACGGAAATTTTGCACAATCACTAACTTCAACAAATGATTTCAATCAACAAATTTCTTTGATAAGAGAATATGTAACATTTAAACAATTTTTCTGGAATGTGATTCGGAATTCTGTATGTAATTGTCTATAATCCTATTTAATCTTATTTGTCATATTTGACTAATGCAAGTATTTTAAATTCACGCTATTAATCATTTATGACACTTTAAAAATAAAACAAAGTATTCCATTCGATACAGATATGAAATGGCTTAGAGGCTTAATGTCAAACAGATTCCACGTGTCAATGCATGGTTCGAACAACTGACAGGACAATATGTTCGCGAGAAATGCGAAGGTTGAAAGTAATATTGAAATTAACGAATATGTTTAATATAATATCACAAAAATATGTATCTAAATTAAAAGATAATATACGTAATTAAGCTTTATAAGATGCGTACTTATGCATATTTTCCACATAAAAAAACTCATCTAAGTAATCTAACTAAATTTGCGTAATAAATTGTATTTTTTAAAGTATTATGTTATATAAGCACTGTATGATTAAAATAGTAAAAATCGTTGCTTGCATATTCTTTTGATGTAAATAGATTATTTAATTATTTAGAATTAAATTATTGTTTATCAAAATGAATCTGATAATTCAATTAAATATCTGTAAGAATATAATCTTTTCACAGTAGTATATTTTTAACCCATTGCATTATGTAACATTGTCTAGTAAACATTAACAATAGTATATTTTTAAACCAATACATTATGTAACATTCTATAGTAAACATTAACTTGACATTCTGGTGTCTATAGAAAATCTAATAAAACACGAAGTTTACTTACAGTGCCAATAAAGAAATGAGTATTATGTTGACGGTTAAAAATAGCTAAAACATTTAAAGTCAACAACAAATGCTTGGCTTTAAAGAAATGAACAAAGAATCACTTTTATCAGAACCATTGTCATTTTAAGAAACGTAAAATACTTATTACAGTATTTTTTAAAATAAATATATTTAGGTACTTAAATCTCTGAATTCTGAAGGTTTTTTTTCTTTAAAAAAAACGAAGACTTTTATATAAATAACGCCATAGTTTTAAAATATATATTCATTTTGATAGCTTTTTTTTCGTAAAGAGTTATATTCTTTTTCAAAAAAATAAATAAATAAATTGCTCGAAATTATATTGAAGTTATTAAAAATTCCACCCCAAATTTTTAAGTTTAAATATTAAGTTATAAAAGAAAGTTACAAAAATCAACTGCGAAAAACATTAATTTCTTTCATTGTTCTTATACGCTTTTAATAAGATCGTTAATAATCGTAACTTTTAAAGAACGTGCTATTATCTTCAAACATTTTAATTTAAAACTATAAATAAATGATGAGCGTTAATGAAAACAAATTTGTTATCGATATTTAAAAAAAAAAAAAAATTTAGAGAAAACCAACACGTTTCGAATCGAGAGAAAAGCCCAAACATCCCTGAATATGGTTTTTCCTACCATGTCTATTAAGCAGGAAAATCAACTTTGTATTCAAACCTGTAAGAGTCAAAATAACTTAAAAGAAAACTTAAGAGATTATTAGAATGTTTCCTTAAATACATATAAGAAAAATAGAGCGGAATTTCAAATAACTTTGTTATTTTAAAACACTAATGTATATACAATTTTTCAGTGTTTGTGATCATCAAAAAGCTTACGCAATAAGAAAATTATTGTATAGCCTCTAAATTGCTGTGGATTGAATATTTTTAAATTAAATCTTTATATACTTTCTACTGGTTTAGAGCAAAGAAAATTGTCTATATTTAATAAATAGCCGATATATTTACAAAATATTTAAAAGTGATTGTTCGAGAATTACTCAAAAATATGATGTGTCAGAAAGAGGAAAATGCAATATAATGCAATCATAAGCTAAAACATTACAACTTCAAAATAAGTTTTAAAAGTATTATTTAAGACTAATTAAATGTTAGTTTGGAAATAAAATAAGATGATGAATCCTAACTTTATCCTAATTGTTGTTTTATTATTTCCTGTAGTAAATTTATGTTTAGAGTTATTAAACAAATTTAGTTTTCGTTGGTTGTTAAAAGAATAGCATGTTTTAAAGTATTGTCCAATCTTTTTAAAATTAATCAAATTTAGTGCAACATTACGTTAATATCATTCTAATTAATGCACTTTCTTTTCAAAATCTCTAATCAAATCGGAAATCAAATTATTGTCTTTTGTCATTCAAAATCTTTATTTTCAATGCCCGTCTACTGATAGAAGGGATATTTTTTAATATTTATTGAAACAGAAGTATCTTTTAAATTTTAAAATATTATTAAAGGAGTAAAAGATGCAAAACAGCGCTTAGAATCATTGATATTATTTCCACGAAACTGAGGATTTGTTTTTAGTTTTTATTCATTATCTAACTAAGAATTAACATTTGAGAACTGAAAATCGCTAAATATTTCCCTTTTTTTTAAAATAAATTTCTTGCATAAATAGTTCATGATAATTGAGAAAACTAAATAGGTTGATATTCCTATTTTGATCGACTATAAAGCTAGAAATAAATAATTTGATAAAATTATAAATTTCTAATTATATCTCTAAAAATATCCTTTAATTAACTAAATAATATTTTTGGTTTTAGATTTGATCTGGAAAAAATATTTTTGAACGTCTGTTTGCGTCGATAAAGTATTCATGAAAATTTTAGATTAAAATTTTTTATGTTATTTAAAAAAATATTAATGTAGAATGTCCTTTTCTATTATTATAGGAAAAGCTTTCTTAAAAAGCAGGTGTTTATTAAGTAATAGTTTTGTATCAGCTCCTATTATTTAACTTAAGTTGGAAATAATTACTACATAAAAGTTTATCAAACACTGTGCATCGTTCCAATAAAATCCAAAACTATCCCTGTTATATTTTATAATGTTTTCTATTCAGTCTTTCTTGAATAAAAATAAAATATAAGTTCTAATTTATTCCCGCTATTGGAAATTTTTGTTAAATAGTTTTGATGCATAAAAAATATCAACTATCATCCAAAAATTATCATTAAAATTATCATTATTGCCTATATATTACAGGAAGAAAATTAATGTTAACAATTTTTCTAATTACTTTATTGTTTTAAATGAAGAGCATTAAACTATTTAATTAAATATATAATTTTCTTTGGTAGCCTTACAGATTTAACTGATTTTGAATAACAGATGAATACAGATTTGACTGATGATGGTTTTTATTTAAATAAAAAGTACTTCTTTATATATGCAGGAACTAAACGAAATAACTGATTTTTTTTCGATTGTTTCATAATACTTTCGCTTATTTCCAATGCAGTTATACTCAAACGGTTAACTGCGTTTCTTCTAGGTTTGTGGAGTGATTTACGTATCACTAAAAAAAGCAATGTGCACACATACAAAGACAAAGATATTCCTGATTTAAAAAAAGAAAAAAACTATTGATCAAATGTTTTACTTTCTATCATTTTAGTAAATGAACCTGATTTCAATCGCTTTTATTAATTGTAAAGTTAATTCTGTTAAATTTAAATTAAATTTTAACTTACGTACATTACAAGAAGAAAAAATTCAACCGATTAATGTTAAAATAGCAAAACATAATTGGTATTGTTTTTTGATTGAAGGTTCGAAGTATAATTTCCAAGTATTTCGATATAATTGAAGGCAAATATTCCTAAGTACTAAAAAAGCTAATCTATTTTAATTATCTAAAGTTCTAAAGCTGTTACCCATTTTTATTTTTCTATAGGATTACTTTAGTAGAGTTTATTTTGAGCTCTTTTGATTAAATCCTTTGAATTATTAAACTTAAGAACAAGAGAGGGAGAAGAAAAACAAATATTGCTTCCCTGATCTGTGTGCATATTTTTTTAACGATACATTTAAAATAGTACCGTTATAAGGGAAAAGTACCGTTGCTTTTGTTGCAAATTGTTGTTTCAGAGGTATGGAGATAAGAGATGAGTGGAATAATGATCAGGGGATCTTACCTCTTCCTCCGTGATGGTGCTCACTGAATCCATGCTTTGACTCATGGTCATCGAAGATTCTGATACTGCGGTCGACATAATGACCGGCCGCCTTGATTCCAAAATCACCGGAATGACTGCGCAGTATTTCCTACCCTCAACGCAGTATTTTCTTTTCTATCAGCACCCACAATCACAACACTCTAAACTAATTGCTTTTATTCTCTCCTTATTCTGTTTCAGAGTTTAAAATATTAATTTCCAGTTTCAAAATATGTATAGAAATATAGCCAATTAAAAATCGCCAAGTTGAAAATATTTAAAATTACAGGTAAGTCCACATGGAGGAATAAATGACACGGGTATTGGAGAGAGATGAAGAGAAAACGGAGAGCATACACGTAGAGAACGAATTGGGTGAAAAGTTAGAACAGCGCGAGAGATGTGCCGGTTACCTGTTCGGTATGTTACCTGGCCGTGTGTGCCTACCTTTTGTTGTTCCCACGCGACGTTGCTCCGTCTTCCCCTTCCCTCCTCCTGAGCCTTTCCTATTCCCCACCTTCATGTGTAGGAAATGACGTCACAGAGGGGGAACACCACGTGACGCCGGCTACCTGAGAGAAAGCATCGCTCTTCTCACCTTGATGGCATGTCTATTTGGCGAAATCATTCTACTGTTTGGCGAAGTCGGAAGTCGCCTGTGGCGCTTGGAAATGCGGCCGTGAATTTAGTTCTGGTTTCGAAATGAGCTATGAAAACCGGAACATGTGTATGCTCGTTACGGCCATTAATATCCCCTCTTTGATGGTTTATTGGGTTAGGGTTCATTTTGGTAGGATAAATTGAAACACTTTTACTAATACTCGAGGAACTGTGAATTTGTAAATAGTTCGTTTCGGTACCCACGTTTTGACGACGATATATAT